ATTTCTTGCAGTTAAGTGCACTCTCTGTATCATTTACTGGGGATAGCAGCACATGCTTTCTGCAATCATAGAGCCATTTGGACAGCCTGGTAGTTGCATGCAGACCACGACCATATGTGGTATATAATATGGCATATGGACAAAGTGAGAATTATTCTTCCGGCCTTTGAGATTAATCGCTCATTATGACAAGCTTATGTTTCACACTCTTAGAATTGTCAGCCACAGCTATGTGATTTTTCAACACAACAAAACACAGTAAGAAGCCCAGCAGTATTGGGGTTCAAGGAAAAAAATGTATATTGGAGAAATGGGATATTATAAAGCCAGCCATAAAATAAATAGTAGCCGTTCTCTTTTATACTGAACTAGTATGCATCTTTACAGGAACTTTATCCAGAAATATGAGTAACATTTGTCTTGTTTAACCACTGCTTTAATGATTATGTATTTTTTGCAAATTCTGGTGAATGAACAGTTTATAGATGTATACCATCCATATTAAGGGCCAATATTTGTAAATGTTGCATCTAATTTGAGATTTACTTAGTATAGTAATACTATGTAAGGTATTACTTCTGGAGTACATGTGTCAGAAGTGTTTGTTATTGTACACTGGGATTTTCTAGCATGGTCGGAAAAGCTAACAGTCTTTTCACTGTATTTGCACTTATCAGTACACTAAGAGTCAGAGAAACTGTCCTTACATGGCTGGAATTTTACTATGTATGTGTCATTTTTGACAATCCTTCATGAAAGGTGAGAAAGCAATTGAATACTATTGGGACTTCATTATTTTGGTAGGAAGTTCTTACAAGTTTTAAATGGGGCTGTGCTCCAAGACTACAGGGGGTGAGTTTAACCCCCATTCCAGCATTGGCCAGTGCAGGAGAAGATTTCAGACCTGAGGATGTTAACACCGGAGGAGGCTGCTGATGTAAGTATGTAGCTGGGTGCGGGGTTCTAGTTTGGGTCAGGTTAGTGGATTAAGGAGACTTTTTATATATTTTTAAAGATAAGCTCAAATTTAAAAAAAGTTTTACGTTTTATAAATTTGAGCTTATCTTTAAAGTGAAACCTGTACAGGGAGAATTACAGCTTCTGTCATTGCTGAATGCCTTCTAATATTATTAGCAGTCTGGTCTGTTGGTTTTAACTAGGCTAGACTAGTTGCCTCCAAAAGCTCAGTGTTGCAGCCAGGTAAGCATTAATGGAGAACCTAGGCATTCTATTTAGGCTGAAGTAGGGGGAGGGGCAGAGACAAGTAACTACCTAATGGGAGACTTGACTGGTATGTAGATAATCCAAGTCAATATTAGACCTGGGCAACAAGCAGCTGCATGAGACCAGTTTTGTGGTCTCAAGATCCCCATCCAGCTGCTTGTTCTGCACCTTTATTTCTAGTCATGTTGCATGTTAATGCTGGTGTTTGTATGAGGAGGAATATGGAACAAAACAGTTAAAAGCTTGCAGTAAAGATGGTATTGAGAATTTACTGTTGCATGTAAACCTGCTGAATTGATTTTTCCTAATGAGTCTAGCTTTTATCTGTGCTGTTTTTAAATTACTCAACCAAGAAAGAAAGCAAAGCATAGCAGCATTGAACTGTTGCCTTGATGCAGTTTAGGCAGTGCTTTTATGAGTTGATGTGATATTCATTACATGCCGCTTAATATAGTATAAAATTCAGTGACCTAAAAAGATAATGTTTTAATACCTTTGTAACAGTTGTGGCCATGAAGTACCTCTATGTTATTATTAGTTCATTTTAACTAGTTTTTATTCTACCTTTGGGGTGAGTTTTTTACATTGCTTTGTAGTTGCCAGTGCCCACCCCATAGATAGTCTTAGTACCAGAACTTGGAATAGATGGAGATGCTCTGCTGTCCCCTGACAATCATATTATCATGGGGTCTGAAGCAGAAGAACAGTAGTATTCAGCAGCATGTAGTCACAAACTGGGCATTATTGCCCCTCTGGTCCTGCTCACTACCCATGTGTCTTCTCCACCTCTACCCAGTTGTTTTTTTTATACATTTTTTTATTGCAGTACTGCTAGGAATAATTAAACGTCCCTTTGCAAATATGCAACATATTCAGTGCATTGATAAATGACATGCATACATATATACTGTGCTAGATATGAAAATGTATGAGCATGAAGGTGAAATGTTCTTATATAAATAGTTATGTCATGATTTTGGACTGTTAGTGCAGGGAACAGTCTCTGCATGTCTTTAGGCAGATGAAGGGAAAAAATGCATCATCTAACAGCTTGCTGTCACTGTGGGAAGCAAGTCGTGTGTGTCTGAACTACTTACTGAATGAAAGTACCGAAAGGTATCCAACACTGATTTGTGTCATACCTGGGGCCTATGGGAATACACATATACCATCAAACTGTCCCTATTTTGTCCTGAAATTCTCAATTTTCAGACCTTCATAGGCCTTCAAGGTAGAAATGGTTATAGAATGGGCAGGTATAAGGTCAGACCTGCCTGGGGCTTCAATGTCTAATTCATCCTCATATATTACCGATGGCTAAAGAAGAGAACATAACATCCCGTTCTTACACTGTATGGGAGTGTAAAGAGCCCTTATGATAAGCAGAGTATGGTAATTAAAAGCAAACAGACAGGTTTTAGTGAACTGTAGTCAGATCACCTAAGGTAGACTTTCTGCTTGCTAAACATATGTATATCTCCTCTCACACTATTGCTTATTTTTAGATCTGAAAAGGGTGTTACAGACAAACACTGTATTTTCCTTTAGTAGGTGTAATAGTGTGCATTACTAGCTGCAAGGTTGCCCTTACTGCTTCATGTGGTAAAGCATTCCATGATAAACATGTGCTTTGGCCATGCAGGCAAAACAAACAGGTATACATTAATGCCCTCATCGCCAACAGCAATTACTCTCACCCTTCCTTTGCTCCCCCACCCTTTCTATGAATCTTAAGAGGTTATAGGTATGGAGTAGCATGTTACCCACTCCCTTTCATTTAACAATGTTGGTGCTTGGCAATTGGATAGAGCTGTTACATATGAGTGGGGAGAAAGTGCATAGCCCTGTGTAAGCTCCAACTAGAGTGACTGAGACCTTCCTTTATAGCTGGCAGACTAAATGGAACGGCTGGGGAGCGAAGGAAAGAAAGTTTTTGCTGCTGCAGAGGGAGAATTAAAAGGAGCCTGTTACTTCGCCATGCATGGGCAAAGCACCGTTTTGCTTTAACCTCACTATAAAGAACCCTTTCCTAAACCAGTAGTCAGAACTCGTTTCTTTTATATGCAGCCAATGTCTCCTTTGTACAGCCTTGGGACAAAAGGCTTATTTGCCAAACCTTTATACTGATATTTGATATAATAAAAACATAATGTATTATGTTACCAATAAGATTTTTTTTTCCATGTTCCATCCCTTTTATTAGCTTATGTTATATTAGCTTATGTTATATGAATTGTATGCCTATGTGCTTACATATACAGTAGTTCCTTTAAGATCCCTTTCACACAGGCGGCTCCGACTTTCAGGTAGATTTGATCAGGAGCCAAAGCCAGATCTAAACGGGTATGCGTCCGTTTACATCCGATTCCCCCAACACCGGCTAGGTCCAGAAAACCGGATGCAACAGAGTTCCATTTTGGCAGACCTGATCCTGACAGAACTGGGGTAATCTAATGTTACCGGACACATGTCCGTTTGTATGTGATTCCCTATAGTCCTAACATGTGTCTGGGAAGTTCAGTTTTTTTGGAGGAAGAAACTGGATAGACACGGATGGATGACATCCATTCTGAACTGCTCCAATCAGCAGGGGCATTGGAACTGACAGGTGACTGTGTGAAAGCGGCCTAAGATGGAATATAAACTCATCATCCCTTTTGGGAGAATTTACAACAAACCTTTATATGTTCTGATATACCTAATACAGAAGTAGGGGCATTGAACTTTTAAATGCTTATTCTACCAAAGTATTAAGATATGAGTTACAAGCTACTAACACCAAGGATGTTTTTGTTACAGGATCTCTTTGTCAGGTGCTGATGTAAAGATTATTATTTATGCACGTATACTCTCACACAAGCATGAATTATGTTGTCTGTTAGCAGTAAATAAAATTATGCCTTGCAATTTCTACTTTCATGAACTGTTGCTATGAACACCTCTACTCGCTTCTGTATCTTAGCAGTTCTGCTCCGATATAATATTTCAGTAAGTCAGCTCTGTTTACAGAGCAGGAACAAATACATTTTTATTAAAAATATGAGTTGCATGTTATTCAGTCTTTCAGTATATGCTTTCATAACCTTCCCTGTTAAAGATGCAGTTTACTGGAGTCTATATGCCAGCGAGTATGATAAATGGCCTTAATATAATACATTCGCTTGTATAAATAAGGTAATCTATTCTGTATACACATCCATTGTTAACAAAGAGCTGTCAAAAGGGTAAGGTTAATTTCTCCCACTAGTCTGCTTTTCATTTCTGACCTTCTTCACCACAGTTGACAGATGTTATTGCCACAAATGTTCAGTAGATGGCATCCTTTTCCTTTGAATGAGTCACTTCTTCAAATCTTGACGTCCAAAACCCTCAGTGATCTTTAGAACTACTTTAAATTAGGAACAATTCAAACGGATTTTAAACATTTGGTATTTTTAGTAATATACTGTCTTGCAATAAGAATGTTAAATACGTGCTATCTTTATGCTAGCGTCTGCATTTTTTTCCTGAGATGATAGAGCAAAGGGACCATTAGTAGATATATGGCAAAGTCTATTATAAAGTTTAAAAAAAAGATGAAAACAATTATAAATTCAAAAAAATGAAAAGCAATATATCTATATATAGATATATCTATATATAGATAACGTGCAATGGGAAAAAAAAATAATTGGCTGTGGTAAACTACACTCCTACTTCTTGTTCTTATTTCCTTAATATGCTTTCTTTCTTAGAGATTGTTACTTGAACATGTATTATCTAATTTGTTATTTTAGGGTTCATTGCTGCTGACATTAAAGGGACAGGATCATGGACTCAACTGTACCTAATTACAGATTATCATGAAAATGGCTCCTTATACGATTACCTGAAATCAACCACTCTTGACACCAAGGCAATGCTGAAGTTGGCGTACTCTGCAGTCAGTGGACTGTGCCACCTGCATACCGAAATATTTGGAACAAAGGGGAAACCAGCCATAGCCCACAGGGACCTTAAAAGCAAAAACATATTGGTGAAGAAAAATGGAACGTGTTGTATTGCAGACCTGGGATTGGCAGTAAAATTCATTAGGTTAGTAATGTAAGATAATTAGGTTAGTACATAATATGTTATTTGCTAGTTCAGTGAAGCAGAACCAATGTCTTTGAACTCTCTCTTTCTGTCTTCTCTGTGTCCCCCTCCTTTTCTCTCCTCTCCGAGTCAATGAAATGATCTTTCTTCCTGAATTTGTCACTGAAAATTTATAGCAAAGTGTTGGAAAGAACAGCATAATTTGTACACCGTTGTGAACATTTGTAAAATATTTAATTACCCTGATGACTAAAAAGTCAAGTGTATTTGAATGCCTAAGTAGAAATTGAGTTACAAAGCTAACTGAACACACAACATCGCACTGGTAGAGCAGCAGAATTAACGCCATGGTAAATGAAATGCCATAAAGTGAATGTCTATGGCAATTACCTAACATATGTGCTATAATTTATTCATGAAGCATGCCTTGATTCTTAAGGAGATATGTAACTGACACTGCTAAAGAAATCAATGTAAAAAGGGCCAGTACATATTGTCCATATTTAGAAATCAATAGCATGCCATTAATCACTCTCTCCTCTGTTATGATACATACAAAAATACATATATACATAGACTCTCACTCTTTCTTTCCATCTTTCTTCGTACACACATATATACAAAATGTTTGGAATGGAGAAGGATGAGAGAGACAGGGGTATCAAAAATATTTATCTTTACTTGAGCTTCCCCCAACCCATGACTCTAAAAATCTTGCATTTACCTTTTATTTTTCCCGTTGATATCTCTCTGTCCAAAATAGAGTCTATCTTGCTTGTGTACCAGAGGACAATATGGGCGTATGACCTGGCTGTCTTTCTGAGAGTGGGACTGCAAGGCTCCGTACATGCACTATTTGTTTCTGCTTGTGACCTTTAAGTGACTTTTCTGAAGTCATGGGCCAATTTAGAATTGTCAGCATCATCTTGATGCATATAGGTATAATGAGGTACATTCTATATGTACAGGTATATTATGGTTGCCTTCTGGTGCTTTCAGTAACTGTGTATCTTTATTTTTTTACTATTAGATATGCTCTTAGATCACTTAAAGTATACCCAAAAACAAAATACTTCAGCTTACCAAATTCTTAACTGTTTTCTTTAATTTCCATCTCTGGACAGTAACTCATCTTCTTTCTCCACTCTGTGGAGCCAACTCTTGGACAACAGTATTTTCAACCTGTGGTAGAGTTCGATAGACTAGCAGATTCAGATGGAGATGACTAACACGTTATAGCTGAACTCAAGCTAAAAATTGGGATACAGATTTTACATAAATTAATAAAAGCTGACCATTGTAAGCACCCCTGTCACAGTGAAATGGTTTATCTCAACCCTCTAACTTCCACTTTTGCTGGACAGCTTGGGCTGTTAACCCCTTGCTGTACGCCCATCGTAAAAATACGGGCGGGCGGCAGATGCTTCCCGGCGGATGGACCTACCTGTGCATGATTTTTTTCTGCTCGCTCACGAGCACAATCCCGCCGGGAAGGTAAACAGTTGTTACCAGCGGTTACATACAAGTGTTCAGCTGGCCGATCTCTTGTTTGACCCTGTATGTATGACCCTGCAGTGTGCACCCGCCTCCCCCCTGTTGCCGCTGCCGTTTATCCCAGGCACCGCTGCCCCCCGGCAGTGTCCAGGACCAAGAACACCGGCACAGCGGCTACTAGTATAGAGAAGGAGAGAACAGCATTTCCCCCACTGCTGATCTCTCCTCCTCCTCCTCTCTCTAAAGACGGAAGCAATGTCTATTACTTCACTTCTGCCTGTAGCTGTCATTTCTCTGGCTGCTAGCCAGAGAAGAAGCTGATGAGGCAGATCTCTGCTTCATCAGCTTCTTTGGGTGTCCCAAGGTGACATTAAGGGCCTTGGGGACACCTGATGTCTCCATACAGAGGACCTGTCATTGTTTTTTGGCTAACACATAGGGAGGCTATAGGGTAATACAAATATTTTATAACATAATGTAGGGAAAACAGGTTTTTTTTTCACAATTTTCGGTTCTTTTTTCATTATATAGTAAACAGTAAAGACCCCAGTGGTGATTAAATACCACCAAAAGAAAGCTCCATGTTTCCCTAAATATTTTTAAAACATTAGCTACAGTACAGCGTTGCATGACTGAATAAATGTCAAAGTACCGCAATGCTGAATACTGAAAAATGACCTGGGCAGGAAGGGGGTTTAGCCCCCCCGGGCAGCAAGTGGCTGGATCACCATGTGAAAATAAAGGAAAAAGAAAAACTAAAAAAGAAAAAAAATGCAGCCGCCATATTTAAGGATTGGTAAGCTGCAATATATAAAAATGTTTTGCTTTTCAGTTGAGATACACTTTCAGTTTTCAATTAATTGTTCTGTTAACAGTTAATTGGTTAAGCTGCGGAAAGCTTAGAAGAGTTGCAAGTTGAACAGTGCAGAGTAATAGGACTGTGTGTATATGTGTGCATGTGTTTTGGTCCTTTTTGCACTTTGGATGGGAAATTCTACAATGCCTGTGTTTTGAGTTGCAAGATCATATATGAAAATAAAGGGGTAATGGGAGTTTTTGCAATGTCTTGATTTTCTGATGGCAGGAACATATTTGAAAATAGATTTACCAATAAAGCACCATTTCAGTTCTTCATGGTGCAATGATAAGAACTCAGTAACTGAGAAAACGTATAAATGGGAGGGAATCATTCCGCCTTGTGTGTCCCACAGCTCTGGCTTATCCCTTCCACCCCCATCTCCCTTGCAGATTAAATAAACACACTACCTTTTAATGAACTGTCATAACAGTGCTAAAACCTATATGGCCTTTGCTCTCTCTAGGCAGAAAGCAACGAGCGATAATTTCCCAATTATTTTGCTGCTCTGGGAATCTGACCTAATTTTTTGTTTAACTCCTTCATTAAAGATTAATTGTATTATTCTGCATTGCACACAGCAACACTCCCTTCAAAATTGTAATTCCCAGAGAAAATTGCTTATAAAATAGATTTCTTTTCATTTAGGAACACAAACACTAATATATACGTTTTCTTCTCTGAGTCATTCCATCCCATTAAAATCTAATTTCATGAAATAGGTATTAGAAGGCATAGTACATTTTAAACAGCTTTGACATTAGAAAGGCTTCCATTAAAAAGACAATAGAACCGAATCACTTGTGTTTTATTTACTCAATCCAGTTGTGACTATAATAACTTCAGTAGATATCATAAGTGGTCCAATGCACATAGAAAAGACTGATGCAAAGAATATCAATACCGAGACATAACAAAAAATGCTCTTTGTTTTAGATCAAAGTACAGTTTATAGTTCAGGAAAAGACATTTTTTTCCCCTATGTTCTCTAAAGATTTGATTGTTACAGCTGTCGTTGGAGTTTAGTCAAATGCTAATGAAATGTCAGAAATGAAACTGCCACCCCACTGAGTTCTATGTCTAATTGTGGTTGCGCATTTGAATACTTAAATCTAGCCTGGGGAAAGTATGTCCCTCCACTGTGTTCCTGGTTCACGCTGAAAAAACCTATTGTTATTCACATTGGTGCACTAGCCAGGCAAAATATGGCAATGGTTTTTGACAGAGTGATTGATTGCTGTTTTCATTTAATGTGCAGCTCCACCTCCCCCCAGTGCAACTTAAACATCCTGTATGAATATATTAAACATAACATAATAGAGTTTAGATTTGGATGGAACTGCAGTCTTATCCAGGATACTGCACTAGTCAAGCATGTAGTATATACACTTTAATAAATATCGAACAGTCTTAAAAGTAAAATAAACTACTTGTATTTTTCCCCATATGCCATTTGTATAAATAATTAATATGACTCTGTTGTTCAAAGAGATGAGCTTGGGGTATGCATGTGTTTTCTATTTGCAATGTAAGCAAAAACAAGAACATAGCATTAGTACTCCGTTCACACTGCTCGATTATCGTACGAAAAACCGATCGCATACGATTATCGTACGATAATCGTGCAGTGTATGGGCATCTTAAACCTGGCCCTAACACATACCTTGACTCTTAAAATGAATTTAGAACACCAAACCCAAAAACATATCCTAGTATTTAACCCCCTAATACCAAGATTAAAGTGTATCTTTAATCTTTGAGGGTAAGTGTAACGCCCCAAAAATGTAATCTATTCAGCTTACCAGTCTGTAGTTGTGGTGGCTGCATTAGTTTTCTTTTTTTTCAAGCTTAGTAAATTTTCTGACAGTACAGAAAAATACCCATTGATCCCAAAAGAAATCCATCATCCTTGTAACTAAGATTGCAATGAACTGAAATGATCAGCTTTCCAAGCTATTCTTCCACGCTAGTTATTTCTCCTCTTCCTTCTTTACACCAAGGTTTAGGTTCTTAACTTGATAGATTTTCTTTATCTTGCTCTTTGGGCACTAATCTTTTCTATGAGGTTGCAACATAAGCTGTATATGGTAGCATTTTTTCTCACCATATCCTTGCACATGTTGAATGTATGTACATTGTACACAGTCTAATATACCACTTTATATGATAGTATACAGTATGTACCTATTATTATTGTCTATGTATAACAGGTTTGTCCTGTGTATGGCTGGGTGATTACTGTTGGCATGGCATTACACCTGAATCAGGCAAACAAAGAACTGGCAGGTTCTCTTTAAAAGTTCTTAAGAATAAAAATAGACTTGGAACACTGAGACCGCTTCTCTGTTAAATGTCTCTTGACCTATTTACAACAACGTGCACATTTTCACATAGAAATCTTCCACATAGTAATAATTGGTGTCATTCTTTTCACTCGCTATGCAACTTTACAGTAACTTTGTTTACTACTGTTATCATTTTCACAATAAACTATAAATGTGTATACTTTACTGAGTTTTAAGGCAGGTTGGGCTCATAGATTTTCTTGGATCATTTTGCAGGAAGATTCTCTGCCCCCTGCCCCCACCAAACACAGGAGGTGGTAGCTGGTTAGGCATGCCCTGTATAGTGATAGTGCAGTTTATCATTCATAATTAATTATTTGTGTCTCATATGCCCATGGATTAACAGAAGACAGTACCATAAATACATTCAGTACTAAACTTGATGCCCAATTGGTGAACCTTGTAGCTGTCCATCCTGTATTTGTACTCATAGCACTTCACCCCCATTTGTAACTTGACTGTTACTTTTCATGTTCCTATATTTAGAGAGTCATTGTTATTCTATTTATGCATTCCCTGTTGTCCAATACAGAACCAGCCCAAGAATTGTTCACTTAAATGATCTCTATATATTTGCAAATGTTTACAGACAAAAGAAACAAGAGCAAATGTTAGACTTCCACTGCTTGTAGTTATGTTTACTTAACTTCTTTTTATTTTTTTCACAGTGATACAAATGAAGTAGACATACCACCAAATACCAGAGTGGGTACAAAGCGCTATATGCCTCCTGAGGTTCTTGATGAGAGCTTAAACAGGAATCACTTCCAGTCGTACATAATGGCGGACATGTACAGCTTTGGACTTATCCTCTGGGAGGTGGCCCGGCGGTGTATATCAGGAGGTAAGAAAATAAACATAATTATTTTATTACAATCCTAGTCAGATGCAGTAGACATTCAGTTTCAGGAACATTTGTGATAAATCTAAAGTTGTAAAACCATATCTAATGTTTAAATCTATGGAAAAACGTCTTCAAGCATTCCACAAGATAAATCAGAAAAATGTATTTTTTCTCATGATTGAATGTTGTTATCACAGTTTGTTTTTCCTGTGTGAATAAAAACAGACAGGTGTAAAAGAAAATAGAATGTGATTATGTATTTGTACTTCAGGTATATTAGAAGAATACCAGCTGCCCTATCATGACGTGGTACCAACCGACCCTTCTTATGAAGACATGAGGGAAATTGTGTGTATCCGTAGGTTACGACCCTCATTTCCGAACAGATGGAGCAGTGATGAGGTACAGAATGCGGAACATGTAATGATGCTGCCTTTGTGTGGTTTGCTAAATTCTTAAGGAAAATCGGAAATCCTTGAACATGTCCTTACAGATATATTTGTTTTTCTGTCATCAATGGGACCCTGAAAGTAACTAATAAATGACAGTACCTAGCTTAATTTCTTTTCTAATGAAATTCTGATTTTATTATGTGTTAAAAGAAATCAAACACGTGTGGGAATGTAATTAAATGTTATGGTAAGTCCTTACAGAGACTAAAACATACAGGTCACTGGATTTGATTGATAGCCGCAGGCTGAGGGGCAATGCCTCAGGAGTACGTGCCCAAATTTTAAAATGTAATCAGAATTCACAGAAATGGAACGTTTCCTTCTTTTCCTCAAGACACCCACTTTATAGGTGGAACTTTAAAAGTCTAAAATAGTTTTTCTAGGGTGGGCTAGGGTTAGGACCTCTGTCAGGATTTATTGCCCTTTATATCCTGATATGGAAAATTGTTCCTCACTTTCTGTGCTGGGGATGCAAAAGGAAGTGCTAGAAACTCTGCCCAATCTCAATGGAAATCTAATCTTTAGCAATTGCCATCAGAACAAATGTTCCCATTGGAAGTTGTTCCATCTTGTTGTGACAACTGTACAACTTGAGGACACAAAGATTTAAAAAAAAAGACTGGCAGCGGTTCTAACCCCTTTCTTAATCAAAATGTGGGAACAAATTGGTGGGAGTTCTTCTTTTAAAACAAGAATCTTTGGTGAGAGTTTTAGTTAATAAAATGAAGTAGGGATCGACCGATATAGATTTTTCAGTACCAATACCATTTATTGACCACCCTTCAGGCTGATAACCAATATTAGGTACCGATATTCTGTTTACATCCAGCTGCACAGGCAGCTGAATGTAAACAGCAGGCAGTCAACTGTCATCGTTCAACACATCACACATCATTTCTAACTTATTTGCCAGCTGTAACTGTATGGTTGGTGGTTTTCATTAAAATTGCAATATTCCGAGTTGCGTACATTTGATATACGACATGTAAACCTTGTAGGTGAACGCACAAGTTATGCTATTCTGACTTACATTAAAATTGTTTTTCCCACAGTGCCTAAGACAGATGGGAAAGCTGATGACAGAGTGTTGGGCCCACAACCCCGCCTCACGCCTTACAGCTTTGCGAGTAAAGAAGACACTAGCCAAAATGTCAGAGTCTCAAGACATCAAGCTTTGATTTGACAGAAATCTGAAGTAGAGAAAGCCCGTGGAAGTGGACTTATTTTTGTGACTGAAAATCCTAAAGAGAAATCAAATTTCTACACATTGGACATCTGTGTTACCATGAGTACAAGCGTCTAGACTGTTGAATCACCAGTGACAATCTGGACAAGATTCCACAGACTCCATTACTCAGACTGGTGTACACAGGAAACAAGGCTTCAATGACTAGATGAAAAAATAAGCATGTTGCTTTCTGTGAAAGCAAATCAATTTTTAATGTTTGAAACTAAAAAAAAATCTTTAAAATTCTGGTAATAAAAAATAAAATAAATGTAAGTATGACGTATTGTCTTCGAAACATTAGAGTAGATGTTGCAGGAGAAGTCATGTTTGGAATCTTTATCAGAGGACATTTTACTGTGTTCTGTATATTTCCACAGAGGAGACAAGTGTGAGTGTTCACTATAGTAACCAGAAAGAATGCTTCATTTTTAAGCCTACATCTTAAATCTCATTATTGACTTAGGCTTTAGGCTTTCACTCCATTCATTATTAGTACTTAAAGAGTCACCAGAGCAAACAGTATATTTTATTTGTAACTAGAATAGTGCTTTATTTATACTAATGCTCCCTCTGGGAAACAAGTTTATAAACTCTGGAAGCTGTCCATAAAAAAGGCAAGCCAAGGGCAAATGGGTAGTCATCTGTATTAACCTGTGGTCTCCCTGCCGCACCTTGTCACTGTGTTTCTGGGACAGCTAGGCAGGGCTGTGCTTTCTCATGTTAGAGAACACTCGCTCCTCCGCCCCCCTCCATGACTGGCCATCTGATCAAGAGTGGTTCACTAAGCACAGATCCACAAACTGAAGGAAGCAGAAGCAGGTTCATGCATGCAGTGCAGATTCTTCTCCAGCAAACAGCACACTAGTTGCATCATCATTCTCACTCCAAATCATGTAAGGCTTGCAGTCATAGGCAGCAGTGCCTTAGATAAACTCACACTAAAGATATGCAACTATGAGTCTGTAGGCACTTACCAGGAAGTGCAATGATATATATTTTCATAGTAATTAAGACAAAAGGTAAATGTTTGGGTACTACTTGGGCACAATTAAAATTTCTAGATCTTCCCTGTGACATAGCAAATCTTCTTTTGAGTTCAGGTCTACTTGAACTCAATGCAAATGATTGTCTAGTGGAAAAACTAGAATTCAACAGTACTGGGCATGTCAGATTTGTTTATTTCTGGCTGCACACTGCTGCTTCTCCCCCTGGTGACATGCCACTGCCAAATGACGCACTGGGGACATTTTCTTTATTTATTATAGACAAACTGAAAATCTATAATGCAATGGTAATATAATGTGCAGGAATGAACATTTTATTTTATTACATGGATGTTTATTTGACTCGACCAACATGTGAGATTATTTAAACAAGATTAAATGTAATTGTCCTAAGCAAAAAGGTACAATATAAACAGTGATTTTCAGTCACCAGAGTTAAAATAATGGAAGTATATGGTGCTTAAAAGCAAACAATGGTGTTAAATGCAAAAGTTAAGTAGATGGAAAAACATTGGATGTTCCAATGTAAATTCCTACAACGTCTTCCCCATTATTTGACGCGATATCGTCCCTTGTATGCACATTTTACTGCAATATTACTGCATATTAGGGGCTGAAGTGACTAAACCCTGTCCAAAATGCAGTACACCTTGGGACTTGGCCCAATCCACCACAAGTTCTGACTAATTGAAACCAGTTTGCTCATCTCTAGTCCAGAGTAAAAGAATATGTCCCAATGGAATTGATGTCCCAAAAATAGTTATGTGCAACTTTTACAATCCTGCTTAAACAGCTCCCAATCATTTGAAGTGACAGGGAGGTCCCACCTACCAACAAAACGTAAACCAATGTCCTGCATTTGTTCACACATACATAAACCCTAGTTATGACCCTAGTCTTAAAGTTTTCTTTGTGGCTTATATTCATGGCTCTGGCACAGGTTATACAGCACAATCCTACTTGCAACTCCATGGAACTTCAATTATATAATCAACAGGAACACCGCATACTGAGATACAAAATGATACTCTAGTTTTATTAAAGTCAGCAGTAACAGCTGGCTATTTTAATAAAGAAAGAAAAACCTTTTGCATCTCGATGTGCGGTGTTCTTGTTGGTGGTATAACTGGTTGGTTAGGTGGAGATGAGCTGGAGTATGTAGTTTAATCTCATCTGGATAAGTATATTGGATGTTTAGCATTGCATAAACTTTAAGGAACTTGTCCCATGTTCAGCTTTCACAGGGGAAGCTAACACCACTTTCCACCAGGACCAGATTTATATACTATCCCCCCACCACAGGCCTTTTGTCTGGTGCAATGCTCCTTTCCATCCTAGTAGACTAATTAGACTTAACTTGGGATGAGAAAGACACACAAGGCACAGGAAGGTTGGGGTTGAGGAGGGTAAAAATGAATGTTTGCCCTCTCTGGGTCTGTAGACCAACACGCAATGACTATAAGAGCAGAGCAAACAGTACTGTGTTTTAGCAACAAAAGGAGCAGGAACTAAAGAGACCCTGTCTGGATAGCACTGGCAGGCCAGAGAGCATACTGGACCCTATTATTGTACAAAACAATATGTTACTGGCTGTCGACACCCTCTGCATGCATTACCATTAATTCCTATGGAAGGTGAGTTTTGCTAGAAACCCCATCTAAATACAGCTTGCAGAGCTATGTTGGGTATACAGGAACTTGCCCTTTACTGATAGACAGCAATTCTCCATGATACTCTGGATCCATCTTTCTTTACGCAGGGGCCAACTTTACTTTACATTCAGTCGTGGCACCAAACCCTTTCCTGATTATCTTTCATTACTCCTCTACTCAGAGCAAGAACACCCAATGCAACAGACAACCTCCCCATATAACTTCCAAGCATGCATTTCACTAACACCCGTTTTTATTCCACATCACTTGCTGTCTTCACTCGGTGTCCCCAAACCAATCAACTACTACAGACATTTTGCAGTGTGCCTAGTAAGCCATCCTAGGTACCAAATCTTGTACAATCACTTGACTTTTGGTAAAGGGGACTAGTTACCCCTTTGCAATCACAATCATAATTTGTAAGCACATTGATACTGAAGCGCTGCTGATTTACATCTAACCTGTTCTGCTTTGCCAAGTTAAGTTCCTAAAAGTATTAACTGGAAATATATTTAGTGAACAAATCCTGATTTCTAAACCAAATTCTTCTTTGTAATTACATTGGCATTCACCCTCAAACATGAACAATATACAGAGATGAAGGGTGTGAGATTGGGTCTTTTAATTACTATCTATTTTGATATGAGTAATTGTAGTTTATGTATTACTTTGATTTGCTTTCTTTAATTGAGAGCAAGCACCTTGGACTGTACATGTATTTGTAATGCATAATAATAGTAATCCACAAAGCATAACTGCAGACCATAGTCTGTTATTAAGAGGAACAAGAACAGTGTTTACAACCAATGTAAAATTCCTAGAGTTCTGCAGCAGCCAGCCTGACTGCTCATTATAATTTTGTTTCTATATACTACCAGTATTTGGAAATGTATTTATAACTACAGTGTCAGATACACATGCCAATATCTATACAAGATAATATTAAAAATAATGTGCAGTTTGATATCATCCAGTGTCCAAGACAGCATAAGAAGTATTCCTTCTATCAACAAAGTCACTGAAAATCATTAGTAAGAAGAGAAAGGGTTACCCGGAACAGCCCCGTAAATCATGTGGGATAACGACTGTGGTTGTAAATGACAATAGTAGTAAAGTTTGAGAAGGAAGACAATCAATTCTGTACTTTAAATGATGCTTTTAACCTCCAGGGTTCCAGTTAAATGCAATAAAAGCATATCTTCCCTCCACAACCTGTAAAGGTTTATAAGCCACACATATGAACACATTTACTCTAGACTGATAACTTTTGCTTCTGTATATTCTTACTGTAAAACTGCTATAATGTTTTGAACATACCCTCAATTTTCAGTAAGATCAGCTATATATATATATATATATA